GTCAATTTACAATTTGAATGAACCTCAAAGGCAAAGCTGTAACTGTTACTTGTTTTCCTCAAAGTAGGAAATAATGAAAAAGTTCTAAGATGTCCTCAAAGATTGATTCCAATGCTGAAATAAAGGAGCTGCTTTCTTATACTTCATGTTTTCATTCATATCACACATATTTCCCCTCTTGGTATTGTATTTTTAAGACAAATTTTAGGAAAAATTTCATTTTTGTACTTAGGATGTATTTTCCTTTTGAATTTGGTTCAACTATTTTAAGAAAAGGAAGCAGCCTGTAATGATATCATTCGAGCTAAGCCAATTTGTTTTAGAAGTAACAAAAAGCCCTGCCAGATGTTGCTATTATGAAACAGTGATCTAGCATTTATAATTCATCTGACACCTGGATATACTGGCGTAAACAATGGCTTTTTACATGATGAGGCAGTTCTAATTTAAGATCAATGCTTCATCTGTTTTCTTTGTAACTCTTACTAGCACTAATGCACAAGTCTGGGCAGATTTCCATGGACTGCCTTTTGGTATTCGGCATGTTAGATGGTGAACACATTCCACCTAGACAAGTTTCGCTTGCTGCAGCGTAACTTTGCACTTATTTTTAAATGTCGTTGGGCCTGGCTCCACTTTGTGCCTCTGAGAGACTGAGGACAGCACTAATTTGAACTGTCTGGCAAAAGCCAGAGTCATGTAAAACACGAGTGTTAGAAAATGCCTATGACCAGTATGAAGGAGATGATGCAACACTGCCTTATAATTAAATCAGCAAGAGTCAGGAGCACTATTTGTTAACCAGTCTTCTAGAGCCTCCTGTGTTTCAATGAATAAACAATCCCTTTTCAGCACAAAATAATTTGCCTTACCAAAGCCAATACCTATCATAGCCACGCATCCTTGAGATACTGCAATTAAGGTCATATGCTTGCCTTGCCAGGACTTGTCTCCACTCAGATTATTATGTATGAGGTTCTAGGTCAAAGGAGGGTTTGGGAAAATTTTTAATGTGGCACAGCCAGATCTGAAATCATACAAAAGGGGTCTGTAGACCCTGAACAATATTATTCTCTACAGCTGTGAAGCATTCACTTAGAACTACTTGAGTTTTCATTAAAACTCAAACTGTTTTCAATTTTAGAACTAACTGGTTTACATAGAATATTTGAATTTTAAGCTCTTATTTAAAATAAAGTTACCAGAAATTAAACATATACCCCAAGTTATTTTATGTAACATAACATAATGCAGCTTTAGCATCTACAGTAATGCGTTCTAAAAATAACAGGAATGTAATTTAGTACTTCATTTTAGTTTATGTCAAAATGCTCTGTTCATACCCTTAAGAGGTACTCTTCAGAACACACTCCCACTCCCACCCACCTCACCCTAGCCCACCCCCAACAATAAAACATAAGCATTACATTCAAAGCAATTATTATCCTTGGGATGCAATGATGTTCCCATCTGCAAGGGAGTTATGTCTCGTATGAAAACCTCCATCTCTTACTGTGAGTGGATTCTTTTGCTGAGACTGTTAAGGTGCAGAATTCTGCAAACTGAAATTGGACATTTAACACATTTAATAGTGTACTGAACTTAAGCCAAATTCAGCCACACAAACTCAGTCCCCTACAACTCTCCTTCAGTTAAAAGGAAAGGAATTGAAAAGAAAATTTTAAAAAGTTGTCTTTAGAGAGGGAGGAACCTAGAGAGGGAGGGGGGGGGAGAGAGAGAGAGAGAAACATCGATGTGAGAGAGATACATTGATCTGGTTGCCTTCTGTGTGCCCCCTGACCAGGTATTGAACCCAAAACCTTCTGGTGTATGGGATGATGCTCCAACCAAATGAGCCACACCAGCCAGTGCAAAGAAAGGAATTTTTAAAAGGTAAGAAGCCCAAAAGGAGGTAGGGACAATGGGAGGGGAAATAGTAGCAGGCCAAGAAAATTCAGTAAATTTTTGAAAGAGGGAAAATAGAAGGAAGAATAGCAGTTAAGTGATAGAAAATGAGAGGCTACATTGGGATGCTCCTGTAGGATGAAATGATTTGAGAAGGCAACAGTTTGCCTATAAATCCAGAAAGGCTCAGAACTCAGAAGCCCAAGAACTGAGTAACACATATAGGGGTGAAATGAGAGCTAAAAGTGAGGATTAGTTATAAGTCTATAGAGGCAGTGGGGAGACCTCATGTGATCTCCTTCTTGCAAGCAAGAGATTGTCCTCTGGAAAAACCAAACTTGATAAACTCCGGTCTTGGGAACACCAGGTCCAACTAGATAAATGATGATGCTATGAAAAGCATGAAAAAGATAAAAATCTGCACACTTGATTGGGATTTCCCTGGACTCATTTTCTGCTCTCCTTCCAGAAAGCAGAGTGTCAGGCTTGTAAGGACTCTCTGAGCACCAGGCTGACAAAACTTTCTCTGGAGAAAAGAAATAGCTGCTGTTTCCTTTTCCTGGAACTCCAATTTACTGACATGTTGGACTTCCTAGTGAAAAACACTTTTCAAGTTCATCGAAGTATAATTTACCTATGACAAAATGTTCCTATTTTAAGTATACAGGTTGCTTAGTTTTGGTCACTGTGTACAGTCATGTAACCACCACAATCAGGATATTTAGCAGTTCCCTCATCCTAAAAAGTCTGTTCATGCCCCTCCGTGGTCCATCCCTTCCCCTGGTCACTGGTCCCAGGCAACCACTGATATGTCTTTCGTAACTCTGGTTTTGCCTTTCGTAGAATTTCCTATAAATGAAATCATACAGTGTGTAGTCCTTTTTCACAACCAAAATGACTTTAAGATTCATCCATGTTTTTGTGTATATTACTACTTGATCCCCTTTGCTTGCTGAATAGTACTCCTCTGTATGAACACACCTGAATCTGTTCACCTGCTCACCAATTAAGGGGCATGCTAACCCTTTCTAGTCACACCCATTCCCTTTCCTCCATTATCTCTAACCCTTGGAAACCAAGAATTTATTCTCTAGCTCTATATTCTTGTCATTTTGAGAATGGTATATAAAAATGGAATCATATAGTGTGTGGCCATGTGAGATGCCTTTTTTTTTTACCTAACACAAAGCTCTTGAGATCCATTCAAGTTGCTGCATGTATCAACAGTGAATCCCTTTTCATTGCTGAGCTGTATTCCATGGTATAGACATACCAGCTTGTTCAGCCATTCACCTACTATAGGGCATTCTGTCCCCCTCCTGCCTCCAGTTTTTGGTTATTATAAATAAAAGTATTGCATAAATAATACTTTTATATTTGAGGTGAATTTCTTATAAGTAGCATATAGTTAGGTAGTGATATATCTAGACCATTTCCATTTAATGTAATTATTGTTATGTTAGGGCTTAAATCTGCCATTTCACTTTTTTGTCTTTAGTGTGATATATATATATATTTAGATTTTATAAAGTATTTTTATTTTTTGAAACATGTTTTTATTGATTTCAGAGAGAGCAAGGGAGAGGGGGAGAGAGAGAGGAAAACATCAACGATGAGAGAGAGTGATTGATCGGCTGCCTCCTGTACACCCCCACGGGATCTAGCTGAAATCTGGGCATGCGCCCTGACCGGGAATTAAATGGTGACCACCTGGTTCATAGGTCAACATCCAACCACTGAGCCAAGCCGGCTGGGCTATTTTTATTATTTTTAATCTGGTTATAAGTATAATACATCATGATTCTAAAGTTTTTTTTTTTTTTTTCTGACTTCTGTAGATCACCTGATCCACAGAAATTCCATTCTGATTTATCTATAGTGTGTCAGTAGTATAGTTTAGTGGTTAGACAGACATATATTTTACATAGCGTTCCCCTTGATATTTCCAGTACCCAGCCTTATATAGCTTTCTTAGTGGTTGTTCCAGCTATTATATTCTACATCTCATCACACTTTACTGACATTTTACCAGTTTCAGTGAAGTGTAGAAACCTTACTTCCCTTTATGTTCCCCCATTTAAAATATAATTGTCTTGCCCTAGCAAGTGTGGCTCAGTTGCTGGAGCATCATCCCACACACCAAAAGGTGGCGGGTTTGATTCTCCGTCAGGGCACATACCCAGATTTTGGGTTCAATCCCCTGTCGGGATGCATACACCAACCTGGTCTCTTCGGAAGTTCCAATTCTGGTTCCTGAAAACATTCCCACCTTTCCATCTAATAAATGGTTGAGGCCAATGTATTTCAAAGAGGCTCACTGTTCTGACAACTATGTTTGACATGCCAGAGCCCATTCATTGTTGTGGTGCAGATGAAGCAAAGCTGGAAATGCCAACCCTGTTTTTCTTTGGTTAATTTAGTCACCTAAAGGCGTCAATGTCTTCAATTTGCAAACCCAGTGCCATCTGATTCTGAAGCCCAATCCTGACCAAGGCCCCATTAGGAAGTTTTATCTGATGTACCTGAGATGGGGGAGAGCATTCACATCTCCCCCCGCCCCGCTCCCACTGGATTTGACCAGATTATATACCTGCTTTCTGCCTGGTCTCCTGATTAGCCCTGATTAGGTCGTCCAGTAGAACCGAGCCAGTGTCCTCAACCTCCTTGCTGGCCGGGTTAGGCCCTGATTCTTTCTCTAGGGGTTAGGCTCTACTTCTTATATGCCCAGGGGCAAGCTCGAGTCCTCCCCAAGTGGACAGGCTCCACCCTGGATTTCCAGCCCTGCCGTTACCTACTCTAGGTCAGATCTTGGAGAGCGAGCCCACATCTGCTCCTCTTCCCGGGAGGTGGTAATTTAGGTGAAGCCACTTCACTTGAGGGCCAGCCCAACAGCCAGCTCAGCTGTCCTAGTGTCAGGAACCAACTAACTCTTTTTCTTCTCCATTCCCAGAAATCCACGGCTGAGACTCAGGAAGTCTTAGGGCTGAATCCCTTCCATTATGGCATGAAGGTACCTGGCACAGCACTGCAGTGCTCAACAAATGCCAGTTCTTTTTTTCGGTCACATCAAGTCAATCGAAGCACACTCTACTCACCTGGTGTACACAGTCTAAGAACTGCAGGAAGACTGGCGTGAAACCACTACCCTGACAGTTGAGGGTCAAGCTGCTCCGCTGACTGAATTTATGACCAAAAGAGAGCCACTCTTTTTCAACCAACATCCGGAAGCCTTCGAGCGTCCTATAAAAGGGATCACCGAGTAACTGAACCAGGGATGTCACCTAGGGCACAAGCAGGATGGATACTTCATTACTTTCAGTTCTGAAAAATCCTGTTGCTAAGATAAAGCACTTCTTTTTGATGACAGCTAATTCAGAAGGTGACCTGGGCAGCAAGTTTGTTCACTAAATGCTCCAGGACAGGTAATCAAATTAATCCTCCAAACTTTCCAGTAAAAATGAAAAGTAAATTCATTTTGGCTCCATGTTTTCCTTCAGGGAATTCAGCTTTTAATCCTTACCTGGCCAGTTTGCCAACCGTGGTTTTTTCCTAGGTTAATTAATGCGGCCAGAGGATTAGTTCAAACCTATAGCTCCTTTTTGGCAGGTATAGATTAATGCCATACTACAGTTTATAGTCATACCTTTTCCTTTCACTCTGGAGTGAGTAAAGGAGGGGCTTATAGAGAACCAGGGGAAGGACTGACCAAACCCAGGAAGGATGGTCCATGTCCCACACTGCTGGTCAAGAGCTCCATCCGCATGCGTGCACAGTGCACCTGCAGTGTGGCACCTGATGCCCCAAGCCAGAGCTTCAGGCTATCCAGAGCCTGGAGGCTCACAGCATAGAACTTTCTGATGGACACTGGGGGTATTTAACACAGGACTTTTTCTGTCCATACACATTAGTCATTATACAAAAGGTTCATCTGCAGAATTTAAAAACAAATGAACTGAAATACAAATTCATACAAATATAAAACTAAATATATGAAAATATGTGTAAATCATTTACTTGTGCTGTGATGTCCCAGCCTTCTTCCAAACAGACCAAAACAGAGGAACCATTCTCAAGTACTTCTGATACTACTACGGCCAGCTGCATTATCCTGTGAAGCTAAGAGACGAAAGGAGGCCAGTTAGACCAAGTGCTTTCTGAGTACCAGGAACAGACACACTTGCTATCAACTTGGACAGCCAAACAAATTAGGGATCAAGTATGTGCACAAAAGAGCCATGTAAGTTTTAAATACTTAAAGTTCTTTGTCAAAATCAAGATTAAACAACGATACATGTTAAAAGTAGGCACATTTAAAAATATTGTGTTCAAGTGATACATGATGAAATAAACTGATCTTAAATAATTTCCCCTGGAGTGGAACAGCTATAATTCCATAGAGCGGAAAAAACAGAGATTCAAAGCAGCTCTCCCAACATAGCTACTGAACTTAAAATTTGTTTTTCTATGATGACATAGTAAGTTCTATTTCGGATACTCTTAGTTTTTCTGAAATTAGATAGTGGGGATAGTTGCACAACTTAGCGAAAAGCACTGAATTGTACGCTTTAAAAGGGTGATTTTTATGGCAAATAAGTTATAACTTTAAAATAAGACACTTTTATTTGTCTATAATGTGTATTAAATGGGAAGAAAATTTGTATTTGTGCTCAGCTTTTAAAGCCAAGCCATTGACTCGTAGTCCCTAATGAACAATTAGGGTGTGAGCAGAGCATATAGATTCCAAAACCAAACGTGCAACCTTCTAGTTTTAAAAAATATTTTAAGCATCACTTGACATAATTTGTAGAATGAATCCAACCCTGAATTAAAACAGAAAACCCCCATGAAACAGAACTAGGCTACTTTAAACACAGAAACAAGGCACATGTCCTCTCCTACAACGAGCAGCTCCTCACTCGCTGTTCTTGCAGACAGCAATGACCAGGCCTGAATTCTCCTGCACTTAGCGCCTGCTGAGTTAACTTTTAAAATGACAATATCTCAAGTAGAACAATGTTTTTGTTTTTGGCACTAACTTCTGGTATGGATTTACTCTGGAGTAAGGAGAACACAGAATGTACCAGAAATACAGGTTGGGTGGTGGGAACAGTCTGGGGCTGAGGATCAGCTTCTTTCATGGGCACTCAAAGGATCTCAAATAGCCTTAATAGTAATTAACATACCCTGATATAGGTTTATTTATTTATCTTTTAAATTTAATTTTTTATTGATTTTGGGGGAGAGAGACAGACATTGATTAGCTGCTCTGTTGTTCGACCCATGCATTCATTGGTTGTTTCTCGTATGTGCCCTGATAGAGGACTGAACTCGCAACCTTGGCGTATTGGGACAACACTCTAACCAACTGAGCTACCCAGCCAGGGCTCATACCGATACAGGTTTATAACTAATTGTATATGTGGCTGTTTTTCTGTAGTTTAAGTACCTTAAAAATAGTTACTGCCCTGAGTACTCACATAATTTTCTGGCCTTTTTTTTGCCTTTTAGTCCAATATACTGTGGGAAACAACTGTTTTTCCTCTCAGGGGAGGCAGGAGGCTTCAAGGCAGATGCGTCAGGGGACAGAGGGGCTGGGGACTTGTGCAGGGAGGAGTAACAGCCATAGCACTGGGCCTAAAGACAAGGCTGAAGGCTATGGCACACAGATGCTCTTGGCCAAAGGTCTGTGTCAGTGTCTAAACCACATTGTCATAAATACCTATGTGTGCTGGCATACCCACTTCTAATTTCTCAATTAGAGTTCAATTAAAACATCCCAAGCTTGACTTAGCTGAAGGAAATAAGACAGTTTCCATCTAAAAATAATGATTCCCTCCTTAGCAGCCTATGGAGACCAAGTTTTCAATTACAGAGATAAAAACCCAAGGATGAAGTCGACCCCCTCACCTTCTGTATCATATGGGTCCCTGCAACCGAAAGGCTTTTAGAGAGGGCGCCCAGTAAAGGCAGAATGTCAGGGAGTGGGGGACACAATATTTCCCTCAAATGTCAGTTCTGTACACCCTTGAGTTCAAAGATAAGCTGCTCCAGAAGTTACCTGTGGGAACCATTCAGAGTCTCCCAGGGCCTTCAGGAAGGTCACGTCTGAGTCAGTTGGGATGGTGCTTGGGACACAGGCCCGCATCAGCTTTTTAAAACTGGCTTTCACTTGTCGGATGTCATGAAATTCAACAGGAACAAACTCACAATTTAAAGCAAATTCTAACTTAAAGTTCTGTGGAGAAAGATGCAGAGAATTAGGCAGATGAAGTGCTATTGATAGAAGAGCAATGATTTCAACACGGCAATGCTTAAATGATATAAGTAGCTGCAGAGGCTGTAATGGGTCAAGAAAGTCAGTCTTGTGTGGCTGTATCCGTATTACTGGAGTCATTCAGTGAGGCCTAGTGGTTTGACTTAGCTTGCTGTCATTCTGAGAATGTGAAGAGGCTACTGGTAGTCCGGAACCCGATGGAGCTTATACCACCACATATAAGTCAATATAAAGTCATGAACCTGGAAGTCTAAAGATGATATGTGTCCAGTGATATGTGGACAGCATGATTCAGACTAAACTGTACACTGTCTCCCTGAGATGCACACTGTAATTAAAAAGTGATATACTGCTGAGTTTCCAGAATTCTACATATTAAAATTTGTACACATACACATATTTGTTTCTTATTAAGCAAGTAAAACAGTCATTGTAAAAATGGGAAAAAAGGGGAGATAAACATTGAGAAGGAAATAAAAATCACTGCCTCACTGCCCTAAGACTACTAACATGTAATTACTCTTTTAAAGTCAAAAGGCTTTGTTGATTTCTAGCTTTGGGACAATATTTTTCCATTCAGTGTGACACGTCAATCTGTACTTATTTGAACACTTTTATCATTTATATCTTTAATCCATATGGAATTTATTCTATGTGAGGCTGCATTTGTAATTAAAGAATGCTAAGCTGATGGCCCAATTGTGTATTTTATTTTGATACTCTAGTTGCCTAATCCCAAAGATTTAAAAATTCTCTAACTTCTCTTGCTAAAGAATGAATTAATTTTCTCATTTTCTTTCCACTTTCCTCACTTCTGCCCAAATTACTCTACTGGACCATTTGCTTTTCTAGGAGTAAAACTGCTTTCTGGAGGTTGTATAGCAATGTGACTGTATTTAACACTATTGACTGTATGATGATAAATTTCATGTTATTTGTATTTTACAATAATTAAAAAAAACTGACATAGGGTCTATGCCATGTTTTATATTGGTTATTTTAGAGTACTTTTTAAAAGGCCCAATAAAGTTTAAAAATAAAAAGCAAAACCTACCAAGGTTTTAAAAAAATAGCATTTCTAATATGTATCAAGGAAAAAAGTTTCTTTGTCTTAGTAATTCTGCTTTTAGGAATAATCTAAAATGTAGGGAGAAACCCCTAGTGAACAGTATCTCAATTAAAAATAATAATCAACTCTATGCTTGAAAATGTGACTGTAATTTTACATACAGAAGATAAAGAAATGGAAACATCCATCAATATGGAATGTTATGTAGTGATGAAAATAATTATAAAGACTATTATACAACATGGAGACATGTTACAGTTTGAGATAAAGAACTTACCTGTATACATGAGGTCTTTTCTATTAGTTTTTAAAAAAACTTATAATGGATAAAGGATAGTTCACTTTTCAGGAAAACCAGGTTCCCTTCCATTCACAACTATAAAAGAGCTGGGTATGCCTATCTTTTTAAAATTTTTATTAAATATATCTTTACTGATTTCAGAGAGAGGAAGAGAGAGGAATAGAAACATCAATGATGAGAGGGTCATTGATCGGCTGCCTCCTGCACACCCCGGACTGGAGATTGAGCCCGCAACCCGGGCATGTGCCCTGACCGGGAATCGAACCGAGGTCTCTTGGATTCTAGGTCTACGCTCAACTGCTGAGCTATGCCCGGCCGGCAGGTATGCCTATCTTATAAACCAGGCGTTATCAACCACAGTGTTGAGACACACTGTTAGGGCAAAAGGAATTTGTTACTAAGTAAAAGGTATTCAAGTATGTGAATTAAAAAGCTAAGTAAGACCAATTCAAGGTTGTTTAGAGTAAGCCACTCTCACTTGCTTTCCTCTGTGTTTCTTTTGTTGGGAGAAAGAGTGAGCAGCTGTGACTAGAGAGCATTGTGCTGGAGAAGGGGGCTCTTGTCAGACAGGTATGGACTCGTGCTCCACAGACACAATTATATTAATAAAAAGCAAAACGTGAATACAATGTACAAAAATCCTAATAACTACTGTACCAGGATGGTGAGATTGTGTTTTAAAAACATAATTCTTTATTGATAAGAGAAAGAACAGAAAGAAAAAATAAAAGACAGAAAGGAAGAAGGGAAGGAGGCAAGGAGAAAGGGTCCCCAGTGGCTAGCCTTTACTGAGATGTGCACAGACCCACAGCTAATCTGGGGACTGATGTGCAAAGGGAATGGCAGAGGTGAGCATTCACAAGACAAACCTTGGGGAGTGATTCGGAACATGAGGAAGTGGTGTGCTGAGGTATGGAAAGTCTGTGCACTGAGAGACACTGGTGCCAAGGAAGCTGTTCTGGCTGGCAATTCTGGGTTGCTGCTGAAAGGTGTTCCAGCTATTTTCTGGATAGAAAAGTATCTGCTCTGTCAGAAGACACGTGTGCATATTTAAAAATTGAGCATTACCCAGCAGTTTCATGCCTTCTGCCCTAAAGGTTGGTGACTAAGTGACTGCAGCAGTGTAGGCAGTGGGGGAAGGGCCAGCAAAGCCAGCTTGCCACAGAAGAGATGACTCAGTCACTGGTACCTTGACCAAGCGAGTGGGATCAAGCATGTGGGATCTTGCTCACAGCCTCTGTCCACAGTTCAACTAAAGGTCTGTCTACACCATCCAGTGCTGATGAAGCACTGGACTAAACTTTGAGGGGATTTCTGAATTAACAAATAATTTTATTTCCCATATACCTGACAGTAGTAATGAAATTTATTTGTGATAGGTAAATTGCAGGAACATTAAACCTGAGGAATTACTGCTGCTTTTGGAGATAAAGACTATCTTTATAATTTATAGGACTTGATCATAGTGAAGCTCTTTAGCATAATAATTAAAAAATAAAGGTGATTAGCACTGAATAGTTTGAATTTTCTGACATGTCTTAGGACATGTGCATCAGTATATACAGCTTTGTAAAGTTTTAAAAAATGCACCTTAGAAGACATAGCTTGGACTTCCCTTGCTCCATATGCAGTGAGTGCCATAGTCATCTTTCCACTCTTCTATCTCCCTGTAGCTTTCTTTGTCAATAGGTTTACAACAAAACCTTCTGTTCTGCCATAGGCACAGATTCCTAAGGAAGCTGAACTAAGTGGAAAAATCAGCCTAGATAAGCCTCATTATTTCTTTTTTGTGTAAACACTTCCTAATATTCCTGATGTTCATGATCTATTTATGATTATGAAAAAGTACTTCTTTTCATAGCTAATAAACATGCATATGTGTATATACATATCTATCTAGGTATATGTAGACATCCATCCATCCATATATAATGAGCTAAATTTTTTTGATATTGATTATTAACTCCAGGTTAAAGATCCATGCTGCAAAAAAAATAATTTATAGAAAAGCTGATTTATGAGATCAGTTTTATAAACTGCCTTCAAGTATCAATGAAGTAAGAAAAAGAAATCTTACCCTTAATTGTGACTTTTCACCAAATATATATAGGGCTGCTTGGCGTTTCAAGAGCTGGTTTTGCAGGTAGGCGCTGTTATTATAGGAGGCCGAGTGATCCTTGCCTGCCAGCCGGGCGCCAACATCAATGAAGGATGTTGGAGAACTGATCAGGCGAGTGCTGGAGCGAAGACTTGCCCATACACCTTTACAAAAGACAAAACAACTGAATGAGGAAATCCGATGTGGGACTGCCACTGGACTGGGAAAAGGGTACATGCTCAGTATCATTTTCCAGGTAGCAGCAAGGTAATTAATCTAGGTAATCATGGATCATACTAGTCATTTGTCATTTACGTTTGCAACGTATAAGCATTATTCAGTACAGCATTTCAGAACCATGATTAGGTGTGGAAGGACTAAGAAGTCACCGAGTCAATCCTATTATTGTATTTTGGTGAGAGGTCAGTGTTGATAAGTAAACACTGGGGTCCTACATAGAGAGAGTGCACTGGCACTGGGAGACAAACATGTGGGCAGGGGCAATGATGAAGCCTGGGCAGGAGGGGATGAGTGACGCCATTTCTCAGGGCTTTGTGAAAGAAGGAAGAACATTCTTCTGCTTTAGTCAGTCAATTCAATAAGAAATGTAGATTAAGGACATTAGAACTTTACCAAACCTACTAAAATCTCAGGCTGGATTTGGAATATTTGTGTATCATGACAAAGTGATGCAATTTAAAATTAGTAAAGATTGTATTAAACTTTTCCCCCAGTATCCATGAAAAATAGTGAGAAGTTATACATTTAGTCGTGTATATTTCACTGAATCTTAGGAGGCTTTATTTTAAATTTATAGTCAAAAGCAGATGTCTTCTAGGGAAAGGTCAAGCTAAGCTGCTAGAAGAATCTCATAAGTTGATCTTAATTACATTAATTAGAAAAATCAAGTATTTCTATATGCAAGGAGACTGTTAGATATTAAATATCCAAATACAAAAGCATATGCTAAGGCTGGAATGTGACTGGCACTGCAGCACCTACACAAGGCCCCTTACAAATGCCACAGGCTGCAGAGCTCATCTTGGGGATGTGGTCACAGGTGTACAAGACACTACTGCTGCCTCCCCAACCTGGGCTTTCCTCTATAGATTTGGAAAGACTCCTTGAAAGGCTTTATTTACCCTTGCCCAGCTGGGTGTGGCTCAAGCGGTTGAGCATCACCCTGGGATCCAGGCGATCAGGGTTCAATTCCTGGTCGGGGCACACGCCTGGGTTTTAGGCTAGGCAGCCAATCAATGACTCTCTCATCATTGATGTTTCTCTCTCTCTCTCACCCTCCTTTCCTCTCTGAAATCAATAAAGATTTTTTTTTTTTTTAAAAAGAAAGGCTTTACTCTTTGCCAAATGTTAAATCAAGCAGTGTTTCTAGTGACTAGAAGTCACCATGATAATGTCACATTAGCTTCTCTCTTTATGAGCTATTATAGGGTCAGAACACTAGTTCCTAAGAAAAGATTTTATAGGTGATTTCTTCCTAACACAGATGAATCTTTCTATATAACCTATAAGACATTATGTCTTAGACATTATGGCAAGTCTTTGTAAATGAAATCAGAGGAAATTCAGAATGTGGGTGAGAAGTAAGATAATTTGACAGACAAATGTGATAAACATCACTTGTAACACATATGCTTTCATATGAAGATGGTTAACAAGAATGACACATCAGGACAGGCAATACAGTACCTTGGTTATGGACTCTTCCCTTAGTTGAAGATTTGGGATTTGACTGAGTAAAACATTTATCTCTGTACCCATGCACTGGTAGGTGAGATTAAAGACAGAAGGAGGGATAAAATGCATATAGCAGCAAACATCGGAGCAAACTGAGTAAAAGAGTAGGTTATTTAATTTTTTAAATTAACATAGAAGAAAATATGTAAATATAATAAAAGTAGAAGATTTGATTAACAAATAAAAAGCTGCACAGTCACACAAAAAAGATGAACTGAACACCTGTTAAATGAAATTTCAGCACCTGTTAATAAATGTAAGCACAATGAAATGAACAGCACAGCGGGGAGTGCCACTAAAACATTATACCAAATGGAATAAGCTTTTGAAGACTGTCATCGGGTGACCATAAAAGTTGAGGAATTTAGTGAAGGGGGTGAATGTTAGGACTACATTGGTCGTGGTGTTTAAGGAGGCTGATTGGTAAATGCTACATGTTGGACAACACATTTGTTCTGTGAGCAAGGTCATCACATCAGGAATGAAGCTCTAGCAACCATTTGGAATAACTAAGAGCATGTTTGTGCAATAGAACATTAAGCACTGCCACACTATCTTCTTTCTTTTCATTTGGAAATTACAGTCATTTTCCATAAACAAAGAGTTATGAGCAGCAAAAAAAATCATGATCCTGTGACAATGCTCAATGGCACTAAAAATATAGCTTGTGATGATTGAAGAAATGACTTCTCCTCAAATCCCTACTTGCACCAAAATGATAGGCAGTATTTAGAGATAATACTTTTGTAATTTGAGTAATATTGTTTTTTTTCCCAACAGAAAGAAAGCATTTTGCGACTATGGCAAACTTTTACCTGATAATAACAAAAATGGTGAGCGCTCAGTTAGTTATATCCTGAGCAAAGGAAATGCTCAGTTAAGGAAAGTATGAAAAATGATTTTGTATTCATTCAGGATTGAAAACTTTAGCAGCAGTATTATTAAGCTACACATTGCAACACTACATAAAATGTGACATAATTTGATAAAAGAAAAATCATTAGAAGTGCTTTTCATTTCTGCCTCACTTCTATAGAAGCAGGAAATGAAAGGCATTGATGGTTTTAGTGGCCAAAGGCGGTCAGAAAGCTGAGGTTTGCAGAGGTGCTGGCTGACACAGAGAATGCCACTGCAAGATAGGACAAAGGTCTGGGACTCATGGCAAAACACCAGGTCTCCTGTGTGCTGGCTACTGCCCTCTGTTCTGCCAAGGTTTTAAGCTTTCCTACTGAACATGAGACACTAAACGCTTACAATGAAGTCTGAGTTGTTGGTTCCTGATTCTGAAATACTGTTCCCTAAACTTATCCTGCTTTCTTATGCTAGTGCCTCTACCTGGAATGATTTCTCTCATTTCTTTACCTGACAAACTCTTTATCCCTTAAGATCCAGAAACAATGTAAACTCTCCTGAAAACCATTCCAGACTGTCTCCAGAGTTGTGGAGAGCTCTACTTGAACTCTGACCACACTGCATTGGGATTTTGTGCACATTTGATCCTACTAGGTTGTGTGCTGAAAGCCTGTATCATATAAATGACTGTAGTATATATACACACTACAAACATTTGATTATTTTTTTTTTTGAAAATGGACACACTGTGAGCTGTTGTGGTCTTCTACTATATCTTCAACTCAATTATTTGCCCTGAACGAATGAAAAGAGGGTGCTAAATAAGAAAATATTAAGCACTTTCCCCAAATACGGGCTTATTAAGGAAAAACTGCCAAGTGTTTATCATGCAGCAGAAAATCAGCAATGAGAAAATGGCGTGCACTGATATGGGGCCAGCAGAGGGCTTTGAGAACTGAACCCTACCTGGTGGAAGTGTTAACCGAAGGAATGACACTACTGCTTTGGTGGTGAGGTCTACTTAGCCTCCTGAGTGATTCCTGGGTGGGAGATACTTGTCCTGAGCACGCAACAACAGCCTGGAGCTGTAGTTTTCCAAACTGCAGTTTCCCCCTTAGTGGTTTGTGAAATCACTTTAGTGGGTCTAATTAGTATGTTTAAAAAAGTGAAACAGATTGAAGTTGAAAATACTATGTGCACTGCATATGGTATAGATGAATACTGCTTTATGAAACTTTCGGTTTGGTGTATATACTTTCTGCATTGTGACTCAGTCCTGAATTGTGATATAAAATGAATGCGTATGTATACATATAAATATAAAATGTATTTCTTACTGCGAATCCTGACCAAAAGGTTTGAAAGGTACTAGCATAGACTGAGAACATATGCCCTCTACCTTGCAATCTGGCTTAAGGCAACTGAAATGTAAATGTAGACTTTCCTCCCATTTCAGTGGAGTATTAGGCAACAATAATGATAATAACCACAGCAGCAGTAATAGAACTAACATTTATTGAGCTCCTACTATTACTTAATTTATTCCTTGTAAATACTCTAAAGCCAGATACTATTTATCATCTCTATTTTACAGATGAGGACATGGAGAATTAAGAGGTTTCCTAAATTGCTCAATATCTTACACTAAGTGGTAGGGCTGTGGTTTGAATTTGAATGTAACTGAACTTACACTCCTTGTGTCTTGCCACCTAAGCAACCCTCTGAGCCTGGATCTGTCCAGCAGGGTCTGGCTAAGGGGATTGCTTCAGGGAAAAAGTGAAGTTTCATCCCACCCATGGGAATGGGTTGTTGTTCAGAGCATGAGTGTTTCCTAACTAGGGTTGTTCTCTCCATTTTGTTCAGACAAAACAAAGAAGAGAAGGAAAAGAGATGCTTGGCTGAGGGATGAGGTCCTGTATTTACCAATGTATGAGATGCAAGCTACAGTCAGTGAATGCTGCCCTGAAATGGACTGAACTAAGCCTAATCCCAGTTATGCTAAGTGACCTTGACACTTCGTATCTTAGAGCCTCTTAAATATCTATTCTGGAGGTTATTTCAAGGATAAAATAACACTTGTAGAGGAATTTATAGGGTCATGGAAATGCAAAGAATGAGCAATTAAAAAGCTGCCTCCAGCTCTGGCCAGGTGGCTGAGTTGGTTGGAGAGTCGTCCCATATACCAACACCAAAAGGTTGTGGGTTCGATCCTGGGTCAGGGTATGTATGGGAGGCAACTGATGGATGTTTCTCTCTCACACTGATATTTGTCTCTCTTTCTCTCTCTCTAAAAATCAATAAACATTCTCGGGTGAGGATTTAAAAAAAAAAGCTGCCTCCATGTGGCTACTCCTCAAATATGCCTAGCTATTGTATTTTTGTATTTTAGAGGCAGAACCTATTTTCTCATGGCATTTTTCTATTCAACAAAGTAATTTAACCAAGTTGTGAGTATATGCGCTTTTCCGCTGTGAGGCTCAAAGGCTATTTTAATTTTACATGTAATGCACGTGATCTAGTCACATCTTAATTTTCTTTTAATCAGTCCTTGTGTAAGAAGGCTGCTCCCCTGCCTTAGGAGCTCATCATCGTGCACACCGAATGCAAAGTGATCACCGACGGAAAAAAGGGTGAAGGAGACGGTGAGGGTCAGGCTCAGCTGCAGGTCATCCGAGTGAGAAAGGCACACAGGGGAGATAATGGAAGAAGGAAACCAGGAACTAAGACCCGAAGACAATGAAAGGAATTAAAAAAAACACCACGCAGTGAAAATACACAGAAGAGAATAAAAGAGAATGCTGCGAGGATGATTTAGAGATAGGAGGCTCTTCCCACACACGGTAAATGAGAAACTTCTGGGCAGGGGCACCTAGCTCTCTGGAAGAATGAAGAGGCTCTGCCCCTGAGTGCAGGTGCAAGGACATGACCATGCGTGGGGCATGCAGGTGTCTCCCTCTAGTCTCGCCCTGAGTGTGTCTCCCTGTCCCGTTAATAAGGATCTCCTGAGGCATCCCAAACATGTGGAGGTGTCGAAACGGGAGTATTTCATTCTCCAATTCATCACTGGGGCCTTGGAAGATCTGGGAGGATTTGGGAGTAAAGAATTAAGAGATGGAGTAAAAGAGTAAGATTTGTGTTTCTGGAACTTAGCTTAAGATGCCAGAATGATGGGCACCTGGTTAAGAGCAAAAAAGCTGTCACACTAAGTTCAGAGAAATTGTCGGAAGAGGTTATTTTGGAAGGCTGTCAGAAATAATCATTATGGCCTCATTAGGCATAGAATGGATTAGAAACAAATTAAACAGATTAAACAGGAGATTTTAACCCTAAAAGGTATCTTTAAGAACAAAGAAAGGACTCAAAATTAGATGGGACCATATACTAATTAGACCTACTATACAGGGACCCCCTCGTGTAAAACAGCCACGAGTCTGAGGCCAATATTAAAAAAAAAAAAAGATAATGCAGTTGAAACAGACTGATGAATATCCAGGATCCTTAGGTACCAACATAGAAGGAGAGATAACTTTGTAGCTAAAACTTATATCACAGGTCACCTGGCCCAGTGGAGGAACAGATAATGTGTTCCTGATGAAGTTTACAGAAGTGAAACACCAGAGCCAGGCGTGGGGTTCCAAGTAACCAGACATGTACTATAAACAGCACTCTGTTGGATGGAAAAATTGCTGATGTGCCTTGCTGACAATATAAACTTTCAGATGGTGAATAAAATAGTAAGAGGAACAGTAACCTTGAATCAAAGTCGAAAGGAGAGCTTGGCAACATAAATACCAGGCACTGAGAAAGTCACTGTACTATCTTTTAGTTGAAATTCTCCAAGAAAGAAATGATGAGAAGAATGAAGTTTGGATCTTACACTTTAAAACAATGGTATTGTAAAGCTTCAGAAAAAAGCTATATATGACTGTTATGGTTGAACTGTGTGTCCCCTGCGAATTCATATGTTGTAGTCCTAACCCTCAGTACTTCAGAACGTGACCTCATTTGGAAATGTGACCTATTGCAGATGTAATTAGTTAAGAGGAGATCATACAGGAATGTGGGCCCCTATTTCAATGACTGGTGTCCTAAAAAGGGGACATTTGTAGACAGACACACAGGGAGAATGTCATATGAAGATGATGGCAGAGAGTTGGGTGATGCTTCTACAAGGCAAGGAAAAGACAGCCAGCAAGTCACCAGAAGCTAGGGAAAGGCATGGGACAGGTTGTCCCTCAGAAGGCACCAAACATTACATCTTGATTTTGGGTGTCTAGCCACCAGAACTGAGAGACAATAATGAAGTCACACAGTTTGTAGCACTTTATTATAGTAGCCCTAGCAAACTAATACAATGACTTACGGCCTAATTAGGAAGATGACTGAAGAAGGTTGAAAGCTCTTAGGAAATCCTACAGTAGCAGAAAGTTCTGATGAGGTAAAACAAACAAACAAACAAACAAACAAAAAACAAAAACCATTCAAAAGACCAATATGACTGCCAGAAGATGTGCATAGTAATCTTAGTTTTCAAAAGGAAAAAAACTAAATTTTGTAAAATTGAACCTTGATGTTTCTGAACCAAATCCTGGAATGGATTATTAATAAACTATTTATGATTACTTAGGAAAAAGCACTAATTCCTATAATGAGTTATATTACACTAACCATAAAATCTTCAGTGCAGAGTTTCTTACAAACGCAAAAGACCGCTTTTGGGAACAATGAGTTTCCCATTACTGATGATGCTTAAGCAGAACCAAGATCACGTACTTGTTATGTTTTCAAGGGGACTCAGCATCGCGTGGTAGTGAGAGGAAGAGTCTAAGATTCAATAATTCCACTGGAAGCAGAAGGACTTTACAATCAAGATACCTGCTCTGGAATTTACTCTGAAAAGTAAATGAATCTAACGTAAACCCCCAGAGACCAAAGTAGGCCACCCTCAGGAGCTAAATAAGCCAATACTCAGCCCTTCTCTACTTCCTTATGGCAGCAGCTACAGCCCAGAGGAAAAAAAGGTAACCTGAATATAATTATCTCTTATTCCTCAAACTAACACTTCAGAGAACAGGAGTAAAAGTAACAGGCATTGGAGGCATAGCTCTTGGGACCTGGATCACTTCTCCCAGGCTGTTTAGGCTTTTGTGATCAGTCTTTCTGCCCTGCAAACCTGAAACACCATGGAGTCCTCACAGGGCTGACTCAACACTTAGACATGCTCCCCTCACCTCCCAATGCTTCCAAACTCATCAATACGTAAGATTTCAGCAATGATTATGCCACTTGTCCCAATACTAGAAATAAATTTGACCATTCATTTAGAAAAGGATAATTACTAGAAATAAATTGGATCATTCATTGAGAAAAGGGTAATTAAAAACAATTTGAACCATAATTAGTTGATTTAAAGTTATCACTATCTAGAAAAAAATTTTCTGCTATTAAGATTGAATCAGTGCTCAGTTATAAAATCAATCTTACTAACCTCCTCGAGCAAAGCTATTGGATGGGTTTACATCCAAATGTCCTGGCACTACCTGCTTAAGCACAGTGGACATTCTTGAAGTTCTCTTTTCAGTCCCTAAAGTCAGCCAAAAACAAGAACAAAAACCATGTCGTTTGGGTTAACATTACTCAAATGACAAAAAGTTATCTGCATGTGTAGCATGTCTAATTGCTGCCAAACATTGTACTTTTTAAGTACCCAAAGCTTTAATAGAGATAACAAGGCACTGTGACTATTTCCTCAGAGATACACACATTTGCAAGATTGTAGGCAGTTAGGTTTGGCAAGTGCAATCAGAGAATTTAATGATAAATGAAGCAAGGCATGCATGATGTTACTTTACAAGAAAAGCCACTTTCTGCTTATGTTGAGCTAATTCAAATAGCTGAGCCAAGGAGACCAACTTTTCAAGTCACATGCTCCTGTGTCTAACACATTAGGGTTACCTCTACATGAACCCTTTGGGGTTCCATCACATGATAACTGAAACAAAATATTAGTACAAGTCTTAATGGTTTCATCCAAATCTAGTGAAAACAAACTGTATTGCAAATCATAAAAGGCTGCAGAAATTTCAAGAATTTTAAACATGATAGTTTTAATAAATATACATTTAATAAACAGATGTTCACCTTATATACTTAACTTTGCAATAATATTTTCAAGTCTATGTAAAATAGATTCTAGGGGGAAAAAACCCACATGACTTTATGTTCCCCACCTTTTCTCCTATTACTCTTTTAAAAAGGAAATAACTGAATCTCTAAATATGCTTACTAGACATTAACAGTGGTGCCCTGGATTCTAAGTAAAAGGAGCTAAAGTTATAGCTCCATGAGGTAAAACTTTAAGGGGTCATGTTCAACAAAGAGTGTAAGTAACTAAAGAGCCGAGCCCTAGGAATGAAGCTGACATTTCATAGCTGTCAAGAAGAAAGTATGATCACATCTTACCTGGAGGCAGAGCAAGTGCTGGCCTGACAGAAAGGGTGTTGTTGCCACGGAGTTTCTGATGGACAGAAACTGCACTCAGGATGGCTTGCAAGTACTTTTCTTGTTCTATGCTGCTGGAAGATTCTAAGGAGGAGGTAGGAGCTGGAAAAGAAAAAGATGCTGAATAGAACAATCTGTCTCTATATTAATAACATAGGCATATATGTGTGTGTATATATACATATATATATATATTTTTTTGCTTTTTCTTTCTATATATAGCCTTCAAGTACCACACCCAAATGTAGAGACCAGCCCAACTTAAAGCTCCGAACTATCGAATGGCTAATCCTCCTGATACTGGTCTCACCACGCCTGCTTCCTGACTGCCTCATCCTGCTCGCAGAAAGCCCAGGTCCAGAAAGCCACAGAGCTGTCCTTCCAAGAGCAGGTGCAGTTTCTCTTTATCCAGGCAACTCAAAATGAAGATTCACAAAGGATAACATCTCCTTGGTGACCCCCAACCATCTTGCCTATGCTGCTGTTTGGGAGCAGAGGGTGGCGCGGGGTCCCTTGGCATCCTGGAGTGGGCAGGTGAGAACTTCCCAATACCAGTGGCTTTATTCCGATTCTGCCACATGGGCCTAACAGGGGACATGAGCTTGCAGGGGTTGTTTGCGGGAAGAGCGGAGGAAGGTGGGGAGAAGACAGCAGCAGCTAACGTGAGATTCCCCAGTCCTTCTAAAAGACGGGCAAAAAGTATGCACAGATAGAAACAACTGTGGAAACAACTGTGAGAAAAATTCTGGGTGGGAGGAAGTCTAGCCTGGTTTGTGTGGAGTGAAACAGAAATCACTGAAACTGGCCCAGACACTCTAAAGAGGCATCAGGAGGGACTTACCAGAAGGACAATAGATATTAACAAATTCTCTTACAACGCAAATAGGAAATAATCAGAATTGTATGTTTTATCAATTTTAAGATGGTATGATTTTATTATAAAACGCACCATTATTTTATGTACTAAGAATAAAAACTGAAGTTTAAACTAGGACACAGCTCTTTCTGATCACTTCAATTGTAAGATACATCCCGATTTTAAAGATACTAAAATGTGAGCAAATGTGTAAGCTCAAAATATAGTAAACTTATATTAAATTTAAAAAATCAGAAACTAGTGGAATAAAATAGTTTCAGTTTTTTCCAACTAAAAGCTCAGTAATATGCTCATCAATGTTCCTGAAATGATTTACTCATTTTATGTAACTTACACACACTATGTTCTACTATATGCACTATGTAGCTTGGGAGGATTCCTCAGGACAGACACAGTTAAAAGTGAACCACCTTCAATTGCACCTACGTTTACACTCCAAGCCAGGCAGAATTAAAAAAAATAAAGACACATATAGATACGGTGTTGCGTGTGTGCTGCCCTCAGTCAACCGAATGATCAAAGACACACTGGCCAACTTTTCACTTTCAGGAGGGAAATAGATAATAATAAAGAAGAAACATCAAAAAGTTTTACCTGCAGAACCACAGAACCCGACTTACCTCATTGTGATAAAGGAAAAACTGCAGCCATCCCTGAATTGCATCTGATATCTTAGTGGCCATTGTTTAATTTTATTGAGCATCTATTATAAGCTGGAAGTTATGAGAAAGGTCAGCAAAATATAGCTCCTGACTGACTTCAAGGCCTCAGATTTGGTGCTCATATACATCCTCAGAGAGAGACATCCTCAGCAGCACTTATTATTTCTGTGGCTACCCTCTAGCTTCTTAAAAACCTCTTCTTGAGAGCTCCTAACACAGAATTCTGGTCACTGGTTTGCTGACTTGTTTTTGTGTGTGCGTGTCCACACGGACAGGATCCCTACTTGCTCTGAAACTGTCAACTCTATCTGAATGCTTTCCAGAAGAAAAGGAAAAGAACAGTGCACTCTAGTTCCTACCTGTGGCTATTCTGGGCTGCTGAAATGAAGTCGTCTAGAACCAAAGACTTTATGATGTTAATTTCTATTAGGATCCAAATATAGACAGATATATTAAGACGCCAAGTTCAAGGCGCAGCCCTGAGCCGTGAAGTTAGTTCTTGGTTAAGTTGTCCATGTTGTACATAGCACAGTGGGAAGGGCTATGTGTGAGAGGCTTGATGACAGGGAACAGCTGGCATTCCCAGCTTTTACTTCTTTTATTTTTAGGAGTACTCTGAAGTGAGAACATAGTTGTGCTGCAGAGGGATGCTTACCTGCCTGAGGGGAGTTCTGAGATTTGAACAGACCAGCTACTCCCTTTCCATGGAGCCCCCCAGCCCGGAGGAGCAGGGTACCGCTTCTCGAGTTCTTCCAACATACAACAGGCAGGCGACTGTGTCGGTAGCAACGGGCTACTCGTGGTAAACTACTGTCCTGTACAGCCTGAGGTACAACTAAAAGGCCAGGATAGCTTCAGGGACACGGGGGAAGAGAATGGTTTGGGTGGGTGAGGGGGGAAAATGGGGCGAGGAGAAGGGAAAAGAAATGGGGGGAGAGAGAGAATATAAGAACATTAATATCATACTAGCACAGTCATTTTCTAGGACTCAGAAACATTGGTTGAGGGGTAAGACACATATTTCAAACATGGAACTCAGTTCTGGGGTTGAGAAGAAAAGGCATAAATGGTGAAAACAGCTAACTCATCCACTAATCTGCGGCCCTCCCTCCTCCCTCCCTCCTTTTCTTTTTAAAAATAAGCTCCTTTTATTAATACTACAGACTTTTCCTGAATAACCTCAGCTTAGAAAATAGAAATGTTATGTAGAATTATTTAAAAGGCCTCTTTTAAGCTGATGATCTCCCTTGCCTTACACACCACTTTTTGTCAACTTGAAAGAAAGATTGTAAGATTAATGTATTCATGTCAACTTTATGAGGATGACAAGTCAAACTGTCACCTCATTAGGCTCCTGAAATGAAGAGAGAACAGAGTACTCTAATATTAGACTGCCTGATATGGTGAAAGGATTAAAAATAAAACCAAATGATTTCTGGTATGAGAACAATATGTTCAAATGTCAAAACGAGTTTAAATATTTTATTAACACTACACATTGATGATATTTTTTAAAGATCAGCTCATAAAATTACAAATATGATGTTGGGAAAATAAACAGACAAGAGTACCCTGCTTTTAGATTAGTAAGTATAAGAAGAAAGGCAGGTTTCAGAGTAATTTTTCCTTTAGTTAGATTACACTAAAGAGATTTCTTGATAATAACCTCCCAACCTCTAATTCCATCGTTTTAAAAAAATTGTGGTTAAATATACCTAACATAACATTTAAAATTTTAACCATTTTAAGTGTACAAATCGTTGACATTAAGTATATTGACAATATTGTGCAACCACCACAACTATTTCCAAAACTTCTAATCTCTTATCTTGATATAAACCAGTGGAGAGGAGGGAGAGGAAATCTGGTTTATGGTCACGTAAATTGTAACCTTCAATGACTTCAGTGAATGCCAGATTAACTTTCTATACTCAACTAGAGATACCTTGGAAGCATTCTGAAGTTACAGGTTGTGCTTTTTAGCCCCACAAACTGATAAAGACATAATGACTCATGAAGACTGGAAAAACAATTCCATTATTGGGCCCTCTATTTCTAACCCCACTTTAATATCTGTTTCCCCCCCAGTTGTTTCTAGGCACACTGATTTTGTGTATTAGATAAGGGAATATTGCTTAATGGCTTCGGGGCTGTTTTAGTAACTGGGAGAGAACCAGTATACCCCTTCACTCCTCTCCCCTGTTGTGGACTGTCCCCTCCCCTTCCATGGGACATGAGCACCATATGCCATGCTCTGCTATACACAGGATCTAAACTTTCCAGCTCCCAAGCATAGGCTTGAGTGAAAGCTGGATAACCACTAGTGCTGAGGCAAATACTGTTGAGCCTGAAGACCAGCAGAGGCTACTCTCAGTACCAGTCCCATTTAACAATGAAAGACACATCCATTTACCCTGCCACCCAACCTACCCACTACCCAGAGCTATCAGCTTTGGGCTTCCAAGCAAACCTCAAGAGGTAGACCGGGCTTCAGAAGCTGCTGTGGAAACTTTTAAATCAAGTTTCCACATACAAGTGCTCAAAACATAAATAAATGAACACACACACAAAATCCATGTTACTACCACCTAGGTCAAGAAGTGGACAATTACGAGCATCCAAGAAGATTCCCTTGTGTCTCCTCCTGACCACTATTTCCCACACGTCCTCAGAGATTATCACTACCCTTGAGTGCCAACAACATGGATGAGTTTTTGAATTTTAGAAAAAAAGAACCAATAAAAGTCATTCTTTTGGGTCTAACTTCTTTTACTCAACATATGTTTTAGACCCACCCAGCCTATTGCATGTAGCTGTAGTTTGTTCATTTTCATTGCTGTATAGTATCCTAATATGTGATTATACTATTTGTTCATTCTGTTGATTTTGAGTTCCTAGTTTGTGACTATGTAAGAAAATGTTTCTATGAACATTTTTGTAGATGTCTTTTGGGAGCACATATACATTACTATTGGAAATTCTATCCCACCTAGGAGTAGAAGTGGCAGATAACAGGTTATGCATATGTTTAATAGATGTTCAGATGTTTAGTAGATGCTGCCAGACAACTTTCCAAAGTTGTTTAACCAATTTACAGCCCCACCAGCAATAAATCAGAGTTCCACATGTTCAACATTCTTACTAACATTTTGAATTGCTGGTCTTTTACATTTTAGCCATTTTTGCAGGTATAAAGTAGTTTCATTGGGACTTTAATTTGTATTTATCTGAAGACTAATAGGTTGAGCATCTTTTCAGATATTTATTGGTTACCAGGATACCCACCCCTCTGTGAAGTGCCTGTTTTGGTCTCTTGCCATTTTTATTGCCTTTTCACTCTCTTAACTTATCAATCTTTTACTTTATGGGTACTGCCTTTTCTGTCCTAAGAAGTTATTCTCTCCTTCAGCGTAATGAAGGGATTCTCCTATCTTTCAGAAGCTTTATTGTTTTAACCTTTTATATGTAGATCTACAGACATACGGAAATGCTTTGTGTGTATGGTGCCAAAATTATTTTTTCTTGTGTGGATATCCAGCACAGTTTATTGATAAACATCTTTTATCCCTGCTCTTAAGTGCTCTCTTTATCTTAAATCAAGTGTTTATATATGTTGAGCTCTTTCTATCTTCTCTATTTTGCTCCAATGGTCTGTTCATCTACTCTTGTGCCAATCCCATACTGACTTAATTACCGTAGCTTTATAAAATAATCTTGTAGTATTATTAAAAGATCCTGCAGTTTTATTCTATAAGACTATCCTGACTACTCTTGGCCTTTTGCATTTTTATATAATTCTTAACAATCATCTTTTCAATTTCCTTAAACATTCTTCTGGGATTTTGTTTGGGACTATATTGAATCTATAGATCAATTTTTGGATAAATTTCAGTTTTGGAGTGTCAAGTATTCTAATCCAAGAACATGAAATATCTATTTATTTATATCTTTAATGATCCTCAATATTGTTTTGACTGTTCCATGTAGAGATCTTACATACCTTTATTTAGATTTATTCCTAAGTATTTAATGCTTTTAGTGCTACTCTAAATAATATCAGCAGTGCCAAAATAACATTACTTAAAATTTCATTTTTTAATTATTTGTATTTGTTATATACAGGACTAATTTTTGTATAATGATCTTCTATTAGTGACCTTAGTAAATTCACTCATTCATTTTAAAAGTTTATGTGTAGATCCCTTCAGATTTACTATGCATACAATTAGGTCATCTGTGAATAATGATAATTTTGTTTCTTTCTTTTCAATCTTTATACTTTTTATTATTTACTTTTTGTCTTTCTACATGTCCTACAACCTCTAGTTCAACACCAAATAGAAGGTAACAGTGGGCATCTTTGTCTTGGTCTCAGAGTAAAAGTTTTCAATATCTTACCATTAAACAAACTTTTGTTAAACGTTATTTTTGTAAAAGTCATAAATGTATATTACATTTTATATAACCTTTTTTTATAAAATTCTTTTCTGTATATGATGAACTTATATTTTCCTTCTTAGTTGTTTTAATGTGGCAACTTACGCTGATTGATTTTCAGTGGTCAAGTCAGTTCTGTATTCCTGTAATAAACTCCAGTTGGTTATAATGAACTATCCTGTGTGAAATGAACCTTTGTCACTATGAACCATTCTTCTTTATTGTTAGTAAAATTTTACTTTAAAGTCTACTTTGACACAATTACAACAGCTTTTTTAGTAGTTTTGCATGGTGGGTTGGTTCTATACTTTACTCTCAACTTTTTTGTATTCTTGTATATTAGATATAGCCTTTAAAAACAGCATAAAGCTTTAAAAAAGTCAAATCTTTTACTTTTAATTGGAGCATTTAGTCAATTTATAAGTAATGTAATTACTAACATATTTGCATTTAAATTTACCATTTGTTTCATCTGTTCTATGTTCTCTTTTTTCTCCTTTCTTGCCTTCTTTTGGATTATTTTTTATTATTTCATTTCCTTCCTTCTAATAGCTTGAGGGATATATGTTATTTTATATCACTACAAATGCTTTATAACAAGTATTCTAATAAGTGGTCTATTAATATTTTCTTTTGTTTCTGACAGACTGCAATGATAAATGAGGTCTGTTTCTCACTGGCAGGAGTGATTTTGATAGCAAACCTCCCAAACAGCAGGATACCCTGATACTATCATGTATACTAATCTGCAAAGAGAATTTAGTTAGAAGAACAAAGTACCCAGGAAAATACTGCATTCTTAATAGAATCTCAACCTTCCAGTACTTAATACAAATTCTTTATTTGGCCCAATCTCAAGATATATTCCCAACTTGTTTTTCAAGTTTCACATTGGTAATGTTTGTAAACTTAAATTGTCATTTAAAATGAGATATTTATAGTTCTTCAAGAAGAGTGGGGTTGCAACTAATAGTAACATTAAGACAACTTTCTAAAATACTTACAAGGCTTACAATTTACAAAGTGTTTTCGCAGAATTATTCTATTTAATCAAATCAGGAATTTATAAATGCAAAGAAAAGAACTTACCTGGAGATGAGAATGACTGAATTTGTGGATGGTGGAAATATAGTTTTAAAAAATATAAAGCATGGCATAGTGCTTAACAGATACACAAAAGAGCAAGAGATAAGAATAGAAAAAAGAAAATGTGTTCATTTACATTCTTTAAGTGATAGCCCTTGTAAACATTCTAGTTAGATAGCATGAGAAAACCCTGTCTACACTTGGGTCAGCAAATTACAGCCTGTGGGCCCAAACTGGCTCCGCCCATTCATTCCTTATAGTCAAAGGCTGCTTTTGTGGCAGAGTTAAGAAGTTGTAACAAGAGACCATGCAGCCTACAAAACTGAAAACATGTACTAATACCTGGTCTTTTAAAGAAAAAGTTTGCAGACCCCTGACCAATGGCAGGCTTTCATCTTTCCTCTCTGCCTGGGCAAACCCTATTCTTACTCCAAGCTGTCTTCCCGCCTGCTAGGAGAGAGGCAAATGGGGAAAGACAACTAAGGGAAATTCGTAAAGGGACAAAAACTCGTCACCTTTCACCTTCTGATCTAATACAGGCACTGTCCAGTGATGTAACTGCACTTCTGAGATGCCAATGAGGTGCTTGTGCATGCTTCATAAAGTGTTCCTTAATCACTCCTGTCCCTGGAGACCCTGCTCCTATTTTCTGACGTTTCTCTCTCTCTGGGCTATGGATGCAAATAGCCCATTAAAGACTCAAATGGAAGAAGGAAAGGTCTCTTTTTGGAGCCCCCCAACACGCTTACCTCCGGCAGAGCGAATACATCCTGTTGGAGGCCGTGATTCGAAAATATTCTGGTTTTGAGCGAGAAGAGCTGCCACCTATGGTTCCCAAACCTAAACGCTGATAGTCTCTGAAACAGGCTTTTTCCACTAACTGTTCCATTGTAGACTTCTCGGAGGCCTTCAGAGTGGTACTCGTGGGGAGTTCACTCTCATCTGAAACTGTGATGGCAGAAACGGGTTTTGAGAAAATGATATAGCTCCAAGGGGAAGATTAAAAACTTCCTTTTGAACAGGATCCATAAATCAAGAGAGGTTTATATTATGGCTACAGGTCTACGTATATCACAAATCATGTAACTTCTAGGAGGACTCATTATGGTCAAATTCGAACAGTAATGAATAGTCAAGAAATAAAATATCAGGCCCAGCTGGGCATGGTTCAGCGGTTGAGCGTCGACCTAGGATCCAGGAGATCGGGGTTCGATTCCTGGTCAGGGCACATGCCCGGGTTGCGGGCTGCAGCCGATCAATGACTCTCTCATCATTGATGTTTCTATCTCTGTCTCTTCCTCTCCCTTCCTCTCTCTGAAATCAATAAAGATATATTTAAAAAAAAAAAATTTATAAAAAAAAAAAAAATATCAGGAGCTCAATGGACTCAAAATGTCAGCAGAATTAACCAAAATGTCTAAAAACAATACCATTTTGAATTCATTACCCATAATTTTGTTTCAGTCAGGCTTGCTTATTAATGCCAAAATGTAGTGATTTCCATCTAGGACTCTATGGAATGAACACTCACCTTTGTCAGAGGCTAACCCGTCAGTAAAATTAATCTTTAATATGTACACTATACAAACTCATCATCCAGGTTTCAGTTAACTTTTCAGAGCATAAACTTTTATTAGAAATGTCTAGATTAAGCAGGAGTTTACCAGTGGGAAAAGACCTTTCTTAGAGAGGTATGAAGAAATTATGCTTTTTGTGGAAATATTTTTGTCAGAGGATGTGGTATAATACATGGGAAACTCCCTCACAATTTTGCAATCACAGGTTATGAATCCTTTAAGATTTCAGATGTGGAAGAATTTACCCAATAATCAAGTATTTTAGGGAGGGTTAAAAAAACACACCAAGGCTCCTAATTGGTACTGCATGTTCTAACTAAAAAAAATTCCATTGTTAAAAACCATCCGAGTTTACTTTCTTACTTATTTTTAAAGTAAGGAAGTCAAATTAAAGCTTTCAAAGCTTTTGGAAACATACTCAAAGTTATAATGTCAAAGGGAACAACATGACTCTCTCTTCCATTAAAAGAACAAAAACCTAACAGTTCATCCCTCTAAATACCACAGATATACAACTTTGTGTATTAGTGTGTGAACCTCACAATGCAAAAATATTATCAGGTATCAGTTTTATGTTGCCTTTTATTTTTAGAGGAGCAAAGAGCATTATATAATTTGGTCTTTTGGTGGAATAACTATGATGGAATAATAGTTTTTGTTCCATGACATCATAAAAACTTTGAATTAGAAGAGTCAATACTGATGGGTAGCAATAATATTTTAGGGCTTTCCACGTGACTGTGCGGAGGCCAGGGTTCCACCAAATGGCCACTTGAGTGACGTGATGGTGAGCCTTCTCAGTGCCCTGGAGGCGAGCCTGCAGGTACCCTGCTAACATGGAGACCTTTAGCCAGTGATCTCTCTCAAGATGAGACCTCTTTATTATTATTATTACTATTATTATGTTGTAGTTATATAAGCACTGGTAACTGATTCTAAAATCCCGAGAAGGAAAGGGGTACGATGGTATCCTGCCTCTCTATTAGATCAAATTCTCTCTAGCGTTAATTCCATAAGCATACTTGATACTGGGTAAGGAATAGGAAACAGTCAATAAGATGTTTTGCTACTAGTTTTCTGCCTCTATATTCTTGACCGAGAAGTATCTCAGCTTCCCAGATGCTGTCCTTTTAAATATTTAGTAGGCTTTTTTTTTATCATCTAAGAATCCCTTCATCTTAGGTCTTCCATTTTGATTAAAAGCATCCACAATATACTCGCCCAAACCCCAAATCTTCAACTTTGAATGCCCACTGTCCTTACCTCCTTAGTCTTATTCCGTAACAATGAGGTACAGGGAACACTTTATAACTACATTTCCTACGCAGTGGGGCTTCTTTCTTCTGCCCTTTCGCGAGACCCACAGAACCACGGCCAACCAGCTCCAGGGGCTTAGTAAAGAAGTATAACTTAACAAGTCTTATGGGAACCATGGATGCTGGGGAAAATAATTTTTTTTTTAGTTCCAAGAAGCTGATAAGTGCCTCCAATCTCCTCCTGAGATCTAGGTTTCTGTGTCAGGTTTCAGTGCACCTATGACTTAGCTTCTTACTCTGACTCACATACGGAGAAGGAATGAAGCTGATTCATGAAGGAAAAGCAAGTTTGCACATACCGGATATGTCATCTTCCTCATTCCACCCAGCGCGATGCACTCTCTCTTCCACAATGGTCCCTGTCCTCTTCTTCAATAAATACTGACGCCCGATTGTCATTTTCCCTGCCCTTTTGGCACCTTTCACAATCGTTTTGGAGAAGGTGCTATAAGTCACAAAACCAAAGAGAATGTCAATTTAATAGGAAGATACCACTTATATTTTTGATACCTCCGTAGGTCAACTTGTTTCCTCTCCATTTCCACAGCCACTAGTATTGTCCATCCCTTCATTAAGCCTCTCCTTCTTTAGATTACTTTTCACAGGCAGCAGACTAATTTCCAATAAAACACTGTTGTCATCAGGACAATGTTTTAGGCAAAAGTGGAAGACCCTAGAGTGGGACACAAACTACTAATCACCCCCAATCTGAAAGCCTCAGCTTGGCTCTTTGGTCAAGCACGCCCCTAACCCACTCTGGTTATCCACGCCACTGCCTCCACCAGTGTCCACAAATGATGCTTGCGGAAGTCCTGCGAGGACAGCCAGCCTGCCCTCCTACTGATCTGCACTCTCTGCTAACTCAGAGATCATAGGGCAATTATAACTGTCGACACCTTACATCTTAAATGTTTTAAGTGCAACGTCTGGTGTCCTACCTCCTGATACTGTAAACCTTTTCATATATAGAAAAGACTAAACCATTCCCCTTTTTGAGAGGAGAAAAACTAAGAAATCAGAAATTTGAGCATCCTTTTGAGAATCAGCTTTAATTAAAGGGAAACTTGTATGTAAGTCACATGGACCTAGAAGTACTCCATTCATTGAAATAGTTTACCTTTTCTTGCTGATAGAAAATCTGGGTAGAGTATTTATAATCCATTTGGTGAAAAGTGACAAGGATTCTTTTATTGTCAAAAAGTTTTACCAGACTCTGTCTTTAGTCATTTGAAATGTAAATTTGAGAGTTATGAAGCATATTTTAGATAATTGTTAGAAATCATAAAATACTGGTATTTCCTAAATTCAAGCCTATTGTGAATCACTTCAGGTATAACTTAAACTCAGTGTGACGTTTGAAAAGTTTTCCCAACTAGAGCTCTATCCCTCGTCTTATATACTCAAGATGATTCTAAGATATTTAAAAATTTTAAATTGCTATATCTCTTTTGTAGCTGGATAGTATAAGCTTGATACAATAAGCTTAATTTTATATACAGATGTATACATAATTTTCCCCTGATAGTTTCTACACATAAAACACCACAAAAGCTTTGTTTCCTCCATAGAGGGCTGGGATACTATCAAAGGCTCCTCTGTGACTCCACAGTGCTAAGACAAGATGCCTGGTTCACCTTTAAATATCTAGGAAGCTGTTCATGCTTCAACATATCACACCTGGATACGTGTGATGTCCTTTATGCACCACCTGTCAAGTGGTACAGGTGGCTAGCTATGCAACTGAGAAATGATACACTGTCAGGAACAACTCCTCTATAACGCCCAGCCTTTCAGATCAAGGAAAACCTTTTTTCTCCAAAGTCTGCGGAGTACTCCTTAATATGTAACTTGTATTGGCAGATGCCAAAATTCCAGATGATTAATGATGAAAGAACTGATATAGCCCGGCTAGGCGTGGCTCAGCGGTTGAGCGTCGACCTAGGATCCAGGCGATTGGGGTTCGATTCCCGGTCAGGGCACATGCCTGGATTGCGGGCTCAATCCCCAGCTGGGGGCGTGCAGGAGGCAGCCGATCAATGACTCTCTCATCATTGATGTTTCTCTCTCTCTCCCTCTCCCTTCCTCTCTCTGAAATCAATAAAGATATATTTTTTTAAAAAAAGAAAGAACTGATATATTAGCCCCTGTATTTTATCACTATTTGAAGAGAATTTTACAGCAATTGTTACCTTGTAATAATTGAAACATAACATAAATTCCTAAAAATTTTCATCAGAAAACAAGGATTCCTACTAAAGAAATAAGACAACTAAATACAATGCCTGATCCTGGACTGGATCGCGTACCAGGGAGGAATCATCAGCAAAATTTGAATATGGACTCCATTAAATAAAAGTTTTACACCAATTAAATTTCCTGGTTGGGATTACTGTATTGTGGTTATATAAGATAATGTCTTTGTTCTCAGGAAAGACAGACTGATGTATTTCAGGGTAAAGAGGCGTTATATACATAACTCAAATGGTTCAGAAAAAATACATATGAGAGAGAGAGTGATCAAGAACATGGAGCAAAATATAAACAACTGTGAATCTGGGTAAAGGGGATACAGGAATTCTTTGTACTAGGTTGTAACTTTTCTGTAAATTTTGAAATTGTATCAAAACAAAAAGTTACAAAAATAAAAAATAAAGGCTCTAATCTTTAGATCAAAGCAAAACTGTTTACTAGGCCTGGATATTAATGAAAGCTGAATAGATTGCTCAAAGGCAATTAGAAAGTGATCAATATAGAAAAAGGGGAAAATAGAATTTCACATTCTAAAAATGCATCATGAGCAATAGACATGGTAGTCAAGCCTCTTGTAGCTTTCAATTTTTGAAACTTGTTACAGATATCAAAGCTGCTTTCTGAGCTTGGTTCAACGGGCTTGACAGAATGAATGGCACACAGAAAGAGCAGTCTTTATACCTGACCCAGAGGAACGGTCACTTCCCCTGACAGTCAGCTATGGGAGGGCTGAAATGAAGAAACCGGGCTGTCTGCTTACCGAAAGGATGTGTTCTTCTCCTTCTGTTTGGGTAAAATGATTTGTGGGGTAGTTTGTCCAGTAGCAAAAGCAAAGGTGGTGAAAATGGACTGAGGATAACGGAACTTCATCAGCTGCTTCTTAAAGATCTCTACTACTTCTGGGCTCACTTCCTCATCAAATGCTACTTTAATCAACTGGAGAGATTAAATACATAAGAAGCATTAAGGATTTCCATATAGTTTCCCCACAAATTACTAAACAGAAAATAACAATATTCAATGGCAAGAGTTTGGAGGCTGAAGGGACCTTGGATATCATGTAATACAATTTTTTAACTTTGAAAATAAAAATTATGGCTTAGAAAGGTTTAATTGACATAGATGATTAGCTGGCAAGAAAAATCATGTATCTTGAAGTTGGGTTGCTTTCAGACTATCTTTTCTATGATGAGATGGGGAAATTAACTTACAGTGACTGAAGTGAAAACTTATCCTTCACTATGGCCTAACCAGGTCTCTTCCTACCCAGAGATACTATAAATTCAGTAGGAAAAAATTCAATGTGACTGGAATCCTAACCAGTATAGCCCAGCAATATTCTAATTTAGAGCCTTTGGCAGTTGGAACAGTGAAGAAATCCCTAGGAAGTCACTGCTCTCAGGTGATGGGAGGTCTGGAGCCTAGCGATCTGTAGCCTCACATTTCACAATGAGCATATGGAGGAACTAGGGAGGGCTTCTTGACTGGAAGGACTGAGGCAAGAATTGGAGCTCTTGGAAGTGTGAGATATCAGAGACGAAGCATGAAGAATAGCAAAGGGAAGAACTAAGAAAAGGACATGCATCCTGTGCCTGGTCTGCATCAGTAATGCCACACATTCTGATATGTCCAGAGCTTCCTGGGAAACCTTTGCTTTAGATTACTTAGTACTAATAGTACTTTAACCCTACCCATAATTATCAGAATTTTACTTCTTCCACAGAATAGCGACAAAGAGTTTCCTGCTGAAACAGATGCCAAGAGGATTGTTTTCTATGTAAATAAAGGCTTTATCACACACAAACCGGGGCATGACTTGGCACAGAACAAGAGGCCATTGTGTGTGTCAGAATCTCTAAGATCGCTAAGTATTGACAGATAATCTGTTGGTCTCCAAGTTGGCCACAGGGCGCAGGAAATGAAGGATTAAGCCCAAGACCATTCATGTGCTCAGGGTTGAAGACTGCCCTCGGGGACCCTCTGCTCCTCCTCATCCAGTAGCTGCTAACCGCATGACCACACAAAGTGGCCATGACATCATTTGCAGAAAACTTAAGTACTAGAAGAATGGCTCCCTTTTCTGATACCTGAAAGGATGCCGACGTGATCTGCAGTCCTTCTTGCATGTTCTGCTGCAGCTGGTTCTGCACTGTGATCTTCTTCTCCTTGGTGATGGAGGCAATCGGAAAGCTTCGCATAACCGTCTGCTCACCAACTACAGGAGAAAGGGCACAGACTCAGCAACAGCACATTACAGCTCATTTCTAGAATCCCTGCTGCTCATTTCATTAGGCTCAGCTGGAGAAATGCATCTGGGGAGCACAATGCCCAGGAATGCAGTGAGAGAAACGCCATGATTCCAGAATCACATTCATGAATGTTACTGCGCGGCCTCGACTCTCGGGACACAATCCTTTCCCAGGGTGTAGGAACTGTCATGACCGGCCTGCCTTTGTTCTATTTCCCCAACCCCTGTGTGCCACACAAGAGCCCCTGCTTTAAGGCAATCTTATAGGAAGGATAGGTTTTATACAGAAAAACAGAAATCTTTTCAAATACTGAAAATACATGATATTTAATGTAAGAATACAACAAAAGAGAAAGTTTTAAGTGTGCTTCTGTGTGTGGTGAAAGGTGCTGTATTGCATGTGTGCCTTTGGAAAATGTAGGACTGGGCCTAGGCCCAAGATTTTTAGGCATTTAAGTATTAAAGCAAAAAAGGGAAAATATAAATAATTATTTATCAAGTATCTGACATTACGGACATGAGAGTCTTGGAAAGAAGTGTCACATGTGAAGCCTCCCTTGGGGAGCTCGCAGTTCCCATGGGACAGGAGTCACACATAGAATACAACATGCGATCAGCTCCTAGGTGTGAGGGGACAGGCTGTAAATATTTTGGGAAGGGGGAGATTTTGGCATGCTAGATGGCTAGAATGATTCCTGGAGGAAGTGAGAGGGAAGGTGAGCTGTGACTAGAGAGGAGGTTTGGATTGGAGGAGCCATACCAGTAGCAGAACAGGAGCAACACTAGGCAAGGCCCCTTGGCTAGTGAGCCAGAGGGGGTGACATCTGAACTAGGTTTATGCGACTTAAGTGCACACACTTATCCACTCATTACCGTAAGAATTCCTCCTTCCTGAACCCATCAACTCCTAACCTGGAAAATTCTGATTATCCTCTTATGTTGAGCTCATACCCAGAGGCTAAACAAAATCAGGATGCACATACAATTTAAGTTCATGGCTGTATTAAACAACCTATGCTTATATAACACACGTAAAATCATCAGATTTCTATGTGTCATTAAAGGAGAAATATTAAATTAGAAATTTAAAAAAAGAAATAAACTAAAAGAGGCAAATAAAAAGGTTTTCTCTAATAAAAATAATTTTCCTAAAATGTGAAATTACCACCCACATTGACAGTATAAAACAACAGGACAATACAAGCTTTCACACTAAGTATACCATTACTTTGTTTAACAAAATAAATTAGAGCAATTTAAATGACCAAGGATCTCATATATTTACATGCCCAATATGTATGTTTATGGCCATTGAGCTCACAGTACTGGATAGTTTCTTTTAAAAATACATATGCTTTAAAATACAAATGTAATTTATGTATAATAATATGACTGGAGAGGGCTAAAAAATTTTGCTCTATTTTCACTCTTTTTCAAAATGAGCACAACTATTCCTACAGATTCATTTTATTTAGTGAAATATATGAGCTTTTTGCTTATTATATAGTAAGCAACCTTTTATGACTAAGATAGTGAACCATCCAGATTCTATCCATACAAGGAATTACACAACTGTGAGATTTTAAAGACACTACATTTAAAGATAGTCTGAATCCCACTGTCTAACAAAATGCATAGAACATAGTAGGTACTTATCAAATGCTGCTGAATGAGTAATTTCAGATGAGGACCATTTATTCCAATGGTTCCCAATCCTCAGTATACATCACAATCACTTCTGGGGCTTACAAATGCACAGAGGCCTAGGTCTCTCATTCTTAGAATCCTAATTAAGATTTGAAATCAACTGTTCGAGGGTTGGGCCCAGAATTGGTGTATTTTTTTTTAAAGCTTTCTAGGTAATTCAAATTCATCAGTCAAGGTTGTGAACCCACTGCATTATCGCTAACCAAGCTCATTTCCCTCATTCTATAACAGGGAAATTGAACCCTAGCGAGATGAGGAGACTTAAGATATCAAGGTCAGTCAACACAATCTAAACCTGAGCTTCTTGACTTGGAGTCCAATAGTTTTACCTAAACCTAACATGCTTTTCCATCAACCAGATTAAAACCAAACAGTGATTTTTAAGAAGATGATTCAGATTCAACAGGACCTGCTATTCCTTTCTAATACAGAAGATTATACAGGGTGGTAGAAAACAGAAACAGAAGTTGAGGGAATTTAGTGAACAGAAGTTGTCTGCTAAGAGCCAAATGGAGTTAGTTGAAATGGGATCAGAGGGAGGTGGGGTTAGTTGGTGCTGTACAACCCTGGGAGGCTGAGCACATTGTTCCAAAAAAAGTCAGCTTTACAGTTAACTGTAGGGCTCAGAAAGGTGGGGCCAAGCAGCAAGGGGCACTGCTAGCAGCCAGATACCGTGAATATTCCTAGATAGCAACATGCAGCCAATGAAATTATGATCATTTCAGTGAATTTACTGTTAAGAAGTTACCCTTGGTTCTTCAAGTAAGAATCTATGATCCAAATTAACATTAGCTGTGTTTTCAGATTCACAGTAAGCGTTTAAAGTAAAAGGCTTACTGTGAATCTGAAAAGAACTGCAAATCACTGTATACAGATGGAATCAAACCCTCATGCAGCACATACATATCCATGTTCTGATGGCATAACACGGGCCATACCTAGCTGATCGTGGGGCGTCCCTCTGAACAGGATTCTGTACGTGGTAAGGAACAGGGCTCCTTCTGCCGGCAGCAACTGTGGGCCCCCAAGGAGGCCTCCAGTAGCTTCTTCTCGTCCGTCAGGGTCCAGCAGGACTCGAAGACCCTCACAAACAATTTCTTCTCCCGGCAGTAGAGCAGGCCTAAGAATCTTGGGCTAACAACAAAAAAAGTATGTGAAACATAACTCTTGTGGGGTTTCCAACACGTAGACAAGGTTATCTTCCCAGTTACAGATCTAAAAAACCTGAGCCAGACTTCCCAGGTAGCCAGAATGAGAAAACAGATTTGGGAAGAGGCAGAAATGTCACATCTGCATGCAAATGTGAAAAGATTCTTGGCAGCATTGCTTATTAAAAGGAAAATCACTGGAAATTACTAAAATGCTTGAAACATCTAGTCAATGCAACCATTTAAAAAATGAGATGAATCTGTATGTGTTACATAGAATGATATCCAGAATACACTGTTAAGGAAAAAAACAAGTTGCAAACCAGTATGTATATTATGATCCCCTTTTTGGAAAAAGAAAATAAAATTGTAAGAATATGAACCAACTGTTAAAGGTGGCGTTATCATGGTTAAGGGTGGGGGTAGGGAAGACCATGGGGGACTTTTACTTTGTACAATGTGTATTTCTTTAATGCTTCAGTTTTATACAAAGAACAGTTATGTTTGTAAACTGAAAAACAAATACTTTAAAAAATGGATGCATCTTTAAAAAGACCACCCTTCTTGGCCCTTATCGAAGATTAACACATCAAATGGCCAAGTAATGAACATTTGCACATCTTGGGAAATATGAAACCACATGATACACTCCTCTGAAGAGTTCAGTACTGGAAAAAAAATCCATCTTTCTTGAAGATCTCATATGCATCCTTTTAAATAAGCAGTAAAAATGAAATAAATCAGCATTATCTTTTTCTTGGCTCCAAGAAGCTCAGAGCTAAATAAATGTAAAGCCAAAGCATAATGACCACTATGTTTCAGATTTCTAATAGGATTATCTTTCCTACCTACCTGGCTTCTGATTTCTATTCTGAATTTATTTTTAATAATTCTGTTGTATAGGTAAGAGAGTCCTGAACCCTAATCCACAGACTGGTGCCAGACTAGCTACAAAATAACCATTTGTGAGGCTTGTTAAAGTACAGATTCTCAGGCTGAGTCCTGGGTACTACAGTGGGGAAATAAGGAATCAGGAAGCAGGGGTAGGGTTCAGGACTCTAAATTTTTAATAGACTTCCCAGATACTTGTGATGGATGCTCGCAATGTATACAGATTTAAGAACCTAGTGTTTTTTATGGTAATTGCCTTAAGTCCTTTTTTTGAAAGTAGGCAGGGCATAAAAACTTGGCTTGGGCTTGGAAGTTAGAATGTTTATAATTTATGCCCTGCCTATAAAAGCAACTCAACAAGAGGTTCCTATTGCTCCTTTGCTGAACACTATCCTTTTTATGAGGAGCTACATGATGAAATCCTCTGCAAGTTTAATGTATCATTAAAACTGGAGCTGGTCTCTGTGGAAGGTTAGGAGAAGGTACTTTCAGGGGCTCAAGAGTCTATTATTGCTGTTTTTAAGAAGAGATGTTATTTCCTGAAAGTATGTGGTCTGAAATAATTACCTTCTGTATAGGTGGAAGTCTTCTACTCTCTCGATGCACTGCTTCCAGGGTCTCAATGTGCATAGCGACAATTCCTAGGACGAGTCAGAGTATTCAAAATGAAAGAGCACAAAACAAGCAGAATTGCAACAAATTCTGGATATTTTAGAATTAAAAGTGAATCATATTTTGGTGGTTCCTCGAAGAGTTAAACATAGACCCAGCAACAACTCTTATGAACATACCCAAAAGAACTGAAAACAAGAATTCATACAGATACTTGTATGTGAATATTCATAGCAGCACTATTCCCAAGAGCCAGAAGGTGGAAACAGTGCAAGTGTCCATCAACAGATGAGTGGATAAACAAAATGTGTTATACCCGTACAATAGAATACTATTCCGTTTTAAAAAGGAATGAAGTTCTGATACCTGCTACAACGTGGATGAACCTTGAAAACACTATGCAAAGTAAAATAAGCCAGACACAAAAGGACAGATATCATATGATTTCACTTATAGGAAATATGAAGAGGCAAATTCATAGAGACAGAAAGTAGATTAGAGGTTACCAGGAGCTAGGGGGTAGAGAACGGGGAGTTACTGTTAATGGGTACAAAGTATCTGTTTGGAGTGATGACAAAGTTTTGGTAACAGATATTGATGGCTGCACAACAGTGTGAATGTAAATAATACCACTAAATTTTACACTTAACATGGTTTAAAATGGAAATTTTACATTATATATATTTTACCACAGTTTAAAAATATTGGAAAAAAACTAATCAGAACATAAGTGCAGTCAGCTCTCCATATTTTTAAAAAGTTACATTGCTGCTCAGTATATTATGCAGTTAGGTCTATGATGGTTGCAATTATACTGACTATGTACAGACTTTCTTTCTTGTCATTATCCTCTAATCCATACAGACAACAACTATTTACATAGCATTTACACTGTATTAGGTATCATAAGTAATCTAGAGGTGATTTAAAGTATATGGGAGGATATGCGTAGGTTATATGCAAATACTATGCCATTGTATATAAAGGACTTGGGCATCTATGGACTTTTAGTATCTGCAAAGGGGTGAGTGTGTGTCCTGGAACCAATTCTCCACAGATACCAAGAGAAGACTGTACATAGCATGGCTAAAATACATGGAAGACAAGTATTACAGGTTGCTGTGCTGGGAAAAGTAGACCCATAAGAACAATTCTTACTTAATTATCTCCAATATTCTGGTTCTCTAATATCTGCAGTGATTACCTGGTATCATGCAATGAAGGCTCTTGATGTGATCCTGAGTAACTCCACTCTCTGTACAGACTTTGTCAATAAATCGGGTAATGAAACGCACAACAGAATTGGCAATGTCATTACTCTCTGAATCTTCAAAGCCACTTTCTGTATCATAGCTCTCAGCTACACTTCCTGCAATACTAAGAAAGTCAAGAAAAGAAATCATGGTCAGTACTCAGAATATGACAAATTACTACTATATCACAATTTCCATGGCAATTTATTTATTTATTTTTTATTTTTAAAAATATATATCTTTACTGATTTCAGAGAGAGGAAAGGAGAGGGAGAGAGAGAGATAGAAACACCAATGATGAGAGAGTCATTGATCAAGCCCGCAACCCGGGCATGTGCCCTGACCGGGAATCGAACCCTGATCGCCTGGATCCTAGGTCAACACTCAACCTCTGAGCCACGCCCGGCTGGCGGCTGGGCTCCATGGCAATTTAAACTTGCTCAAAGAGATGTCTACTCAAGCAGAAGGTGCATTTACAGCCACGACTCCTTTATAAGTGATATGGTGAAACAGGATATTCTACTTGCCTACATTTGGAAGCTACTATCAGGATTGTTTGTTGGTCCCAGATTTTTTTTTTGGTAAGGAATACCTTCTCTCATTCTCCTAAAAGAAACCACAGAAAATAAAGCAAAAAGGGACTCTTTCACTGGTTCTTGAACCTTCTAGGAAAACTTGTCCCCCTAAGTTAATTACCACACCAAGCCAAAGTAACACAGCTATTTTTGGCTCTTGGCAGCTGGGGCACATGTTCCCTGGTAGGCAAAGTAGAAGAACTTTTTCTATCAAATAGCACATTCTTCCTAATAGAAGAACCAAACTGTCCTATGAACCCTTCTCTTGTCAATATTTATCTCTCTCTGAGTGCACCATGACCCTTTTGGTCACTCTGAAACCATCCTTCTCCTGTAGGTGATAAAATCATGCAAGAGGAGGGAATAAATCTGAAGTGGAGCAGATGTGAAACCTCAGTCCCTGCCCTTGCTGCTTATTTAGTTCCCACTGCTCAACAAATGCTCGCCTCCTCTGCCTCCCTTGAGACTGCTCGCTAATCATGAAAAAGACGCATTCGCCTGTTCTAACCTACTCAGTTCTCTTTCCTCCAATCCAGTGTTAAAGTGAAGCTAAGCAGCGAATATGGCACCACATCATCCCAAATTATGAACGAACTCAGGAGCTGTAGCCACTCGCTATGTAAATCAGGTTGTAGAAAACGTCACAAAGGGAGAAAAGCAAGGTAGGAAAGAGTGATGGATGTGCTACTTAAGACAGAGGAGTCAGGAAGGCCTCTCCGGGCGGCATCTGAGCGGAGAACTACATGAAGTGAAGGAGTGACTCCTATGACTATTTCGGGGAAAGTTGTCCCGACTGTGGGATAAGCACAAAGGCCCTGCAGGGAGATACGTTTGGCTGACAAGAAAAGTGATAGGAAATAAGGTGAGAGCAGTGGCCAGGGGTCANTGGCGGCTGGGCTCCATGGCAATTTAAACTTGCTCAAAGAGATGTCTACTCAAGCAGAAGGTGCATTTACAGCCACGACTCCTTTATAAGTGATATGGTGAAACAGGATATTCTACTTGCCTACATTTGGAAGCTACTATCAGGATTGTTTGTTGGTCCCAGATTTTTTTTTTGGTAAGGAATACCTTCTCTCATTCTCCTAAAAGAAACCACAGAAAATAAAGCAAAAAGGGACTCTTTCACTGGTTCTTGAACCTTCTAGGAAAACTTGTCCCCCTAAGTTAATTACCACACCAAGCCAAAGTAACACAGCTATTTTTGGCTCTTGGCAGCTGGGGCACATGTTCCCTGGTAGGCAAAGTAGAAGAACTTTTTCTATCAAATAGCACATTCTTCCTAATAGAAGAACCAAACTGTCCTATGAACCCTTCTCTTGTCAATATTTATCTCTCTCTGAGTGCACCATGACCCTTTTGGTCACTCTGAAACCATCCTTCTCCTGTAGGTGATAAAATCATGCAAGAGGAGGGAATAAATCTGAAGTGGAGCAGATGTGAAACCTCAGTCCCTGCCCTTGCTGCTTATTTAGTTCCCACTGCTCAACAAATGCTCGCCTCCTCTGCCTCCCTTGAGACTGCTCGCTAATCATGAAAAAGACGCATTCGCCTGTTCTAACCTACTCAGTTCTCTTTCCTCCAATCCAGTGTTAAAGTGAAGCTAAGCAGCGAATATGGCACCACATCATCCCAAATTATGAACGAACTCAGGAGCTGTAGCCACTCGCTATGTAAATCAGGTTGTAGAAAACGTCACAAAGGGAGAAAAGCAAGGTAGGAAAGAGTGATGGATGTGCTACTTAAGACAGAGGAGTCAGGAAGGCCTCTCCGGGCGGCATCTGAGCGGAGAACTACATGAAGTGAAGGAGTGACTCCTATGACTATTTCGGGGAAAGTTGTCCCGACTGTGGGATAAGCACAAAGGCCCTGCAGGGAGATACGTTTGGCTGACAAGAAAAGTGATAGGAAATAAGGTGAGAGCAGTGGCCAGGGGTCAGGTCCTGTCAGGCCCTGCAGTCCAAGGGACTCATTCTCAGTGGCATGAACAGTTGCTGCAGGGCTGAGAGGAAGGCATGGCTGAGGACATGATTACAGGCAAATGCAAGGGATAAATGAGGAAAAAAGGGCCAAGAAACAAGTAATCACTTTAGCAAGAAGGAAGGAGTTCATGAGTAATTTCCCCAAGCGCCTTCTGTAAGTTACTATGGCAAAAAGTAACTGAAGAGTTGGATCGGTAATGGGTGAGACACTGGAAAAATCAGATCACGAAGGGGAAGAGAGTATGGGAGGTGGTTAAGGACAGGCCGACGAGTGAAGGTCTTTTAGTAGAAAGGAGCTAAGCAAGTCTGAAAGTGGTTCATTTCTGAAATATGTACAGCAACATTTGTCCAAAACACTTGAATTCCCTGCTAAGCCAAGAAGAATAGGAGGGTCTCTGTGGGTCCACATTTCGGTACCTGTTTGTAACAATGCTGTTGCTCCCACTCTCCCAGTCGCCTGGTGCCAATGTCCTTAGGAGCTTGTTTTTAGTTGTGTCTAGCGGAACCAGCAGATTGACCATGAGGTTGGCAAAGTGAATGGCCTGACTGAAGACAATGCTTTCCTCCCGTTGTACCAGCTCCTGCTGAGTGGATCTGCTCAGAGTAGGCCAAAGACGGAGCTGCTCGGCTGCCAGGTCCATTGCTGTCTTCTCCTGATAATGATCATCAGGAAGCTTGTCCTAAAGAACAAAATGACACAATCCAAATCCAACACTTCACACAAGCTTCAAAAAACATGAAAGAAGTTTTACTAATTCATCTATTAAATACTTGTATCAGCAAAGATGAAAACATATACACAAAACATAACAACAACAAAACGAAACCTAGTCTTCTTTTTGACCCAGATCCAGGAGGCCTTGCGTGGAACCAAGTGACAAACCCAAGGGAGAGCAGTAAAGCACAGATGGATACAATCTCTACGGCTCCGTCCCTTTTTGGTTGCCAGTTATAACAAACTATTAACCTGAGTACCTATAAACGCTCAGGTATGAACGTTCAAGTATCATTACTAATACTCTGACGTGCTTCTTTTTTCCTGCTCTTTGGGAGGAGATGGAATGACCAAAAGTCAAAATATAAAGCTAGATTTCCTTGTAAATGTGGGAGTCAAACATTACACATGAGAATACGGGTGACTATGAGATTTTTAAGAGGGGTTTCCTAGTTAGGGTGAGGAGTTAAACAATAACAGTAACTGACATCTGCACAGCACTTTATAGCTTGTGAAGAGCTGGTCCACCCACAATCTCACTTGTACCTAACCTGGGGGGGGCCCTAGAATACAGGACACTGAAGCTGTGACATGTGTTTGCTTTATGAATGCTTTTGAGATATATCAATGTTTGCATTATGGCTGCTTAAAAAACTGTCAAAAGCACCCCACCAGCCCAATTATTTCTGGAACATGACCTCAAACTAATAGTGTTTATCCTTACCCAACTGCATTTGGTGTTTTGAAAGAAAAATCTGAGTTTAATAATTTGGAGTATCAGCTAGATGTCAGATAGTGCTATTTATTACTAAAATTTCTGGGCTTATATCCTCAATATTACACCAATATGTTTAAATTTACGAGGCACATAAATATTTGAATACTACTGTGTAGTTTCCGTTAGATACTGCGGTTCCTTTATCTCACATAATAGAAGGTGAAATTAAAATAGAGAATGTTGGAAAGGATCAGCAGCAATGGATTAGCCCAGCTAATTTTTCAGTGTAAAATGAAAAATTACTCTTCAAGCGAATCCACACTGACAACTGGCCTTTAATTAGCCTCATTCAATTAATGAGGGTGAACATTTCTAACATTTGTTATTGACTGCATGCCAGGCACTCTTCAATGTGCTTTACTTATTGGTATTAGACATTAAACTCTCTTGGAATCACATCTTACCAATGAGGGAATAAGACTGAACGTAACATGAAATGCCCAAAACCACATAGCTAGTGACAATATTTTAAAATTTCAGAAAAATTTAAACTACTCTTTCAAATTAAAAACAAATTTCTCTACTTTTAAATATTTTCTGGATATTTTTCTTAAAAATATTTTATGTTTATAAAATATATAGGAACTTATAGAATATTACAAAAAAAAAAAAAAAA